CCAGCCAAGCAGCACACTGCGGCGTACCCGGGCCCGCCTGCTGGTTGGTTGATCTGTCAGGGCGACGTCAGAGCAGCTGCGATCAAACTGTGATCAATGGTTAGGCATGAGTCCCTGGCATGATCATGTTCGCAGGGGCTGCTCTGCTTACGCTTTGCGGATCTCATGATGATTGCGAATAAAACGGATGGCGTATTGGCGAATGATGCTCCTGGCGCGTCGCCCGTCGCCATGCGTCAGCAGGCGGATCTGATACTGCTGAGCGGCTTTTCTAAAGCAGGTCTGCGACCACCTGGAAAAAATATGAGAACACAGAAGCTGAGCATTGCCCCGAATTTTCACGCTTTTAGATGGTCTGCGAATGTCGGCAGCCGGTAGCCCGCGGGCATGACGGCCTCTGACCTCTAATCTTCTGACCTCTAATCTTCGGCAAGTCTGATAATCATACCGACAACCGAAAAAAGTCAAAATTCGTTGGCTTCGCCGGTTTTTCATAGTCTCATGAGCTCGATTCAGCGTAAGACACCTAAAAAGGGCAGTTAAGTTGATGGATCACCGCACTTCCAGCCTGCATATTTTTTTAAAAATATTTTTGCGCTAGCCGCCGCTGGGTCATGAACAGAAGCAGTAATACTATGCTGCAGATAACGGACAGATCATGCTATCACTCAGATTTTAACGGTTTTTCCGTCATGCACGTCATGTTATCACTGCAACTTATGAACAAGCTGGCATGAGATGTGCGGGATTCCGGGGTGGAATTCCGACAGAGTCCGTCCATCGTTTGTTAGTTGTTGACACGAAAGCAGAACCTGCAGCTGGTCTTCACTGCCAGCGTGTTTGGTGAATCCGTGGATTCATTGCATCGCTATTTCCGGTCCGCTCATTGCGTTCATCAGCTGTCATGGTTCCCGCCGCCTCCGAGCAGGATCACGGGGATAGGATGGTGACATGCTGCTGTCGCGGCTGTCTCTTGTCACGGAGAAACCATCCGGGCAGCGGTTGGGCAGTGGTGCAGCCAGGGCTTCGTCCATGCGGGCTCCAAATTGGGGCCCGTTCTGGCCCCCACTTTGCGGCTAAACGGACTCTGTTTTTATTCGATGGCTTTTTCAGCTCCCATTATGAAATCCCATTATGATGCCTTGAAGTCCATCCTTTGATGTTTTAGAACCCCTACGGCCGTGTTAAGCTGCCAAAAGGTTTTGAGGTCTTCGGCTTTAGGGAGAGCATGGCCACCGCCCCGTCCAGGAGAGGGGGCACAGCTCCAACACCCGTCCTGCTTTCATACGCAACTACAGCGGGTGATCTTACATCTGCACCATGGCTGTACCTCTGACACTTGTATTTTTCAGTGTTTTGGGTATTCTGTGTGTGTGCGGTAAGTGTACCGGTATTTTTTTGTCGAATTTTAGTGTTGCATGAGAGATTATCTCTCGTCTACAACGCATCGTTGTTGCAACCAACTCGCAGCCCTTTCTTCGCAAACGCGATGTCTTTGGTCTCTCCTGGAACAAAGGATCATCGGCAGGGGTATGGGTGCACCACTACGGGAGAGCCATATGTTCCCCTAATTTTCCAAAATAGGATCTTGTTTCCCCAGTTTGTCCCCACCATGCACGTTTTCACGCTCCATTGCAATCCAAAGCGCGGATGCAATAACCCTAACCTCTCCGGACTGCCTGTGCATCGGAGTTATTCGTAGCGCAAGAGCGGGCGCATACCCCCCCCCCCCGCAGATCCTTTCTTGCTTTGCGAGCTACGAGCACGCGTTGTAGCATATTTATAACTGCTTGCGTGATAGTGAGGACCAGTGACGGCCTCGCTCGTGTTGGTCCTGTTGAGTTAGGCAAGGATAGATCATACCAGGTTACAGCTTCTATTTGCGAGTAGTACACACTCACCAACAATCACTCCACACCAGTGTCCACGCACTCAATCAACAGCAATATTGTGTCTTCAGATCAAGTAAGCATTATGAGTATGCACGATAGCAAACGATTCGCCTCGTATACTACCTACAAACGGCAACGAGTCATGAACACGTGTTACGAAAAATTGTGCAATATCGCGTCATTACTAAGCAATGAGTAACGAATACCACATCGTATGTTGGGCGGAGCTACCAGGCTTAACCAATCACAGAGAGCGGGATCGCCTTGCGATCTCCAGAACTGACTGATGCAACAGACCGCTGGTGCGGCGTCCAGCCGCTTGTGGTATGTGTTTGCCCCCTAAACTTTTGACAGATACCTTTGATCAAAACTGAGGTGTTGTAATTACACACATCTTACCTAAACTCATGTGAAGGAAGGACCAATGACTGACTCACGAAGCACTAATCCCACCCCCACCCAGATGCCCATTTCCTGCACCAAGAGGTCCGTTTTCTGGTCCAGGGGGCTCTGTTTAGTATAAAGAAGGCCCTTCATTGGCTCGAGATGCCGCCATTTGGAATAAGAAACCCCCGTTCTAAATAAGGAGGCTCTGTCCATATATATATATATATATATATATATATATATCAAGAGGCCGTTATTCTTAGCTTCCGGGGGGCAAAGCTCATGCGTCCGTGGGCCAGTGCGCTGCTCCGGATAAAAATCTCCTGTTTTGGAATGAACAGGCGTTATTCAAAATAATGGTACCCTGTTCTGGAGTATCCAGGTCCTTTGCAGGATTTGGAGGCACATTCGTGAATAGAAAGGATCCTGTTCCGGATTTATGAGGCTCCTCTATGCATTAAAAGGCTCTTTTATGGAACTGGGCGCTCTGTGTTTGGACAGGACGATCCTTTGCTGGGTCGGAAATGCCCTTCTATCAATTAAGAGGCCCCTGTTCCGGGTTTTTGACTGTCAACATTTATCCACTTGGATATTGATGCATCCAATACTGATCATATCAGGGGTACATGCTCGTTATGCCTCTCTTCTACGCTCCCTCCGTTAAATATGACGCTGCCCAGGAGCCCCCCCCCCCCCCCCTCCTCCCAGCAAAGAGACCCATTTTGCTCAGGAGGCCTACTGGAAAGGTCCACCCCCCCCCCCGCAGCTCAAAATCCGCCCCTGCTCAACCCTGACCTCGAAGAGTACACGAAACATGCGGATCGTCGGCCCCGGGCCAGCCGACAGCTCGCGGGAATCGTGCGGAAATAATGAATGAGAGATATTATTGGTCGAACCGGCGCTGTAGAACTGTAGCTGTAGAGCGCTGTAGCTGTAGAGCTGTAGATTCTCTCGCAGGTGATCGAGCACCGCCGCCAAAGCTTTATTGACGATGTGACGCGGTGTGACGACCGTAATACCACTAATGCTACAAGGCGCAAGAATAGTGTGGTAGAATATAGACATACTACATTTGATCAGGTTTGATGTGTAGGGTGGCCCGGTTATAAGTCATGCGATCCTTGAAGTTTTGTCGCAGCACGGTCAGATATTGGGGATTGTAATCATGCTGCATGGAAAAGACCGAGGTCATGTCGGTGCAGCAGCCTAACTTAAGTATGTTAACGTGAGCTGGGCGGCAAGTTAAACATGAGCATTTCCGCCCCTTAGTCGCGGATTTACCTGCCATGAAGGTACTCCCGTACTGCTGTAGCCTGCGTCTCTAATGAAATGGAAAGGAATGTGGGTCTATGTTTAGAATCCCTCCATTTATCTTTCACCGAAATGTGCACTCACAGTGGTAGCTGAAGTGTCCCACAAAAGCAGATTTCAGCTCTCCTTCCTTGTCTTCCGAGTTGACGTTTACGGCGTTAGTACTTAGAAGCCGTCTGGGAACTTACCGGATAGTTCAGGTGGTTTGGGCATTTTCCACGGAACGCGCATGAGTGCGTAGAACTTTCCGGAGAGCGAACAGCGTGAAGCTTGGCAACGGAATCTTTCAGCGAAATTTTGCAGTGGAAGCCTCCGGTAAGTGATTCTTCGACCAGGCTTTACTTGCCGGAATTTCACGCATAAAATTGCAAACGATTCTCAGCTTTGATGATCGAAAAACTGCAGCGACCTTGGATTTCGTAAACTTACCTACAGATCTGACGACGATTTCAGATTTCCACCTTCTGATCTGTCCTGGGCGAAGCAAAAACAGTCCGTGATATTTGGCGCAGGTATAGGTTGTCTGTCTATCTGCGTTTTCCAATGCGACGCCTCGTCTAAGGGCATTGGCCCCAACAAAAGGACAATTTTGTGTGAACTGCGTGGAAAGTTGCAACATTCCGTCCTGATTCATAGGTTATCGATCGTTTTGTTAGTCGTGTGCTTCTTCAAACATGAGCTCGACGACTTGTTGGCCTTAGCTTAAGCGCTGTGGGTGGACAATGCAACCGGCTTCCATATATTGCTTGACGTACTGTCTTACTCGCAAAGCTAGCAGTGCTGTTGTCAGAATAGTGAAATCACGTACTTGTTTTTCATGTCCTTCCTCAGTTGAATACGTCTTTGCTAAGAATAAACATTTCTAGCGATGGAAACATTCTAAAAAAGAATTGGTATCTAGAAAAAACACATAATTTGATGTTTAACAGACCCAATGTGTTTCACTGCTTGTGACCCTTCTAATTCGTTTCGTCATCATCGCCTAGCCGTCCTGCTCACCCCGTGCGTGCTGCTCAGCTCTCACCGTCGCAGGTCCTGTGGGAGAGAATGTAGCTCTGGTCCGGCTGCCAAAGCCAGTGCCAAAATCGATCGCAGTCGATCGATTCCCCCCCCCCCCCCTCACGGCGTGACTCATGCCGCACTGTGACGCTCTGGGGCGCCGTTTGCCGCCGCCATTACCGGCGCCGCGGTGCCCACGGCCCATCATCGCCCCGCCCGACCACCATCTGTCCGCACTTGTCGTGGCACCAGCCTGATGGCGCTCGAGTTCTGCTGACGTTCTACAGTCACCAGGCGCTGTTCATGACTGCAGTCTCCTCATCGTCCCCACCACACTTGCGTGCAGCGCACTGCCTCGTCTACGTCATGACGGCTGTCGCATATAGCCCGTCAAGGCAGGGAAAACACACGCTTTTTCCTCCGTTTATTGATGCCTATTAATTTACTACATTTTTACACAGATCATAAACCTGTCTGTCTGCTTACACTGAACCAGTCACCTATCTAGCGGACACCGGGGGCCGCCCAATAAACGATATCGAGTCCCAGGCGTCCCTCCCACGTGACCTGGGGGCCCGGACTTAGCGACGGACACCGGAGGCGACCGGACCGACACCGCACCGGCCCGGACCGGCGCGGCCTCCCGGACGGTCCGCGCTGCACCGGCGCCGGACAAAGGCCAAAGGTCGGCAGGCGTCAGCGCCGCCGGGCGCCGCGCCACCGCACGCCCCGCCTCGCCTCGCCTGCACCAGACAGCTGCGCCAGTCTCGCATTGAGCAACAGAACACAGGTGTGGCGTGCGGCTGGTGCCGGCGCCGGGCGCGACCCGCCGCGCCCGGCGGCACCCCTCCTTCGCTGCCCCGGCGGTGTCTGCGTGAAAGACGCCCCACGCGCGGCGCGCAGTGGGCACGAGGCGGCCGAGCGGCCGGCCAATCGCCGGCCAAAGTGGCACAGTGGGCACGAGGCGGCCAATCGCCGGCCAAAGTGGCACAGTGCACAAATATTGTTGAGCTTCGAGCGGTCGATGGGCGCGCACTGATTCCGGACGCCGGTCTAGCCGACCACCGGCTCTATTATTCATGGGAGACGGCGTGTAATTGCAGCTTTGAGAGCCGAACAGGCGTGCATTGCCCGGCGGCGTCGAATCAATGCACCGTCGCCGGCCGAAAACATATTCAAAACAGCGCGCGCTGGAAATGGGAAATGTGTTTTGACCGCGCCGGACGCGAAAACAGCGCTGCCTGCCGACGGCCGCAGTCGCTCGGTAAAAACAGGCACTTGTAAGGCACCACGCTGTCGAAGGCACTGTTTGGAGCAGCGGTTTCGTCGCGTCAACAAGCGGCAGGCGGCTTCTAGGTGCCGGCGGCGCGTGCGGCGCCGTCGGCCTGACTAGAACGTCCGGCGAGCCGGGCCAAGACTGTGCCGACCGCGCCGCATCGCCACCCCTCATGTCTAGCCTAACGTGGTGCACGCCCGCCTGCGTCCCGGCGCGCGTGTCTCACCGTGTGTGTGTGCAACTATGTACATCGCTTGCTGTTGTCCCAGCCATTCGTTCTCGCGCGCGCCCGACTGCCGTCGTCCGCCGCGCCGGACGCCGCGCGGCGTCGCCCGCCTTAAACGCTAGTTGCCTACTCTAACAAGTACACATGATCGGTAACGTTAAACAGTGGCCGAGGCAGGCCCCGACTCCGGACGGGCCGAGCTGCCTCCGGCGGTATCGCTGCACTGCGCATGCGCTGTACCCGCGCCGCCATCGCCTGGCACGTAACATACGCGTAGATGTGTGTGTGTATATCAACATTATGAACAATGCCTGGCGGGGAAGCTGTAATGTCCGCCCCGTTTGCCCTGACGGTGTGCTTGAGGTCAGCAGTGGCCTTGACCTTGCAGGTCAGGTGGTAGGGGCCAAGGCCCCTCCACAACATCACAGTTAAAAAATACAGATAGCAATGTAGAAAAAGAAGCTAAAAAGCAAAGCATCTGCGCGAATCGGTACATGAAGAGAAGTCAAAGGCTTTAGAAACTGGACTCTAAAAAGTAGTGGAATAAATGTCCTATTTTGACCGTGCCGCATCCCTCGGTATTTTGTATAACTGACCACAGTCGCGACCTCCGTTAACAATTAACAGGATTGGTAACGCCTACACCACCAACAATAGAGGACTATGGAAATTTCGGAGTTGCCGAACAAAACGCTGCCGACACTGCGGCGACATCTGTGAGGGGAATCTTATACTAGAGGATGACTCGTCCCGCGGCCAGCGGCCGACTGGGCCGTTGCCGTGGAAACGCTAGCCCCCGCCGCCGCGGGGCACTGCGCCGCCATGTGCGGGGCAGCCGCCCTGTGTCGGCGATGTCTTGCTGGCGGCGCTGGCGGGTCCGGGGCACCTGCCCTGAGGCGCGCCGCGCGACGCTGCCCCCGCCGCGCCGGCCGGACCGCCGCGGCCGGCGGCGATGCCAGCGCCTCTAGCGATGGCCGGCATCACTGCATGCGCGCCTCCTGCGCGGCGGCGGCGGCGGCGGCGGCCGCTGCGTACTGCGAGCTGGCCAGCGAGATCTGCTGCGCCCCCAGAGCCGAGCTCACGGGCACCGGGTACCCAGCGTACTGCGGCATAAACGCGTTCGCTGCAACGGGGGGCGCCACGTTAGAATGCGAGGGACAAGATGGCGGCATACGGGAGACGACTGGCGACATCTTTAAGACGAGGTGCACAAGTCGAGCAGTCGAACGGCACAGCAGTTTCCCGTCACGTCCCGTCATCACAAAGATCCCAAATTTAGCAGCGACCGGTTCTTTTCTAGCCGTGACTTTGCGAACCCAGCGCGCATTATGGTTTGTGCAGTGCAAAATCATCCGAAGATTATGTTGCGCATGAAGCCACACAGCCTTTAAACGAAGGGAAATAAATTCAAAGAATTGATTAGTATTATCGGTGTGCATACATTATGCATACAAAGCCGTCATTACAGGTGTAACCGAGTCGTCAGCACACCTGAAGCTCCTGCCGCTTCTGCGGAGCAGCCGGCCCAATCAATGGCGAGTGGCCTCTCGGCAGTCAAGCAGGGCCGACCACAGCCCCCTCCCCTCCCCCTCCCCCCTCCCCTCGCCCTACGCCTATCCCGATCGATAGCTTCAAAACGCCGCTGAAAGCAACATCTGTGTCGCGGCCAGCACTCGTCGGCTGGCAGCGCCCCTGGCGGCCGACTCGGGAAACTGACGGCCACGCGCCGCTCGGTCGCCGCCCAATGTGTTTTTAAGTACGGCCGGCGAGTTACATGGCGGTAAGTAATGGAGGCCGGCTTTAGTGGCGCGCGGCGGTGCTTAAATCTATACACGAGTGGCGGCGGCGGTGGCACGCGCTAATGGCGGTCGTCAGGGGTGACGGGGGTCGGAGAGGCCAGGCATGCCCGGTGCAGGCTGCCGGCGTTGGACGGATATCACCACCGCTCAAATCGCGGTGTCGAATGGTCTCGACGCCACTGCGACGCAGCGAGTGTCGTTTCCGTGGTGGACGGCGAAGGGATGGATGGCACTCGAGGTAGTTAAACTTGTGACGCAACCTGACGCTAAAGCAGCCGCCACCGCCACGGGTGACCTGCTGCATACCACAACAAAACGCCTCACAAGTCAGATCTTAAGCGCGGGTGTCATTGGCAAAGCCGGTTTTCGCAGTCAAGTGGGCCTGCTCAAGAGCTTCCAAACAAACGGGGAAATTACATGCATTCAATGCCGCGCATTCAAATAATTCGTTTGGTTACGAGCGGCGTTTCGCTGCACGTCAGGGGGGTCACTCTGTATAATTTCGGGGGGGGGGGGGGTAGCATTCCTCCCAAATACCTTCTTGACCTACACCCATGTTAGACCAGTCTGCAATAATTGGCAGAGTTTTCACGCAATAATGACGCCCGGATTGAGACAAAAAATGCACTGAAATATGTGGCAGTTTTCAAGTAAACGGTGGCTGGTCACACCCGCCTGTCTGCGCAGCTTCCCATCTAAAACCGGAGTTTCACGTAAAGGCAATCGGTTTGTCTCAGATTTCTACCAATTATTTGCGAGCCTGATGTAGATACTGTTGAATAAGGGCGCACGTAAGATTCTACAACCGGCGTGGGGGTTGGGGTGGGGAGGGAGGGGGCACAGCCCAAGAATGGAAACCAAGTTAAGCGTGCCGCAGGCCTGTTTTTTAATATTGACACTGAGATCCTGAACATAACTGGCCGAAATAAGGAGATACGTCTGCTTTTCGGGTAGGTTAGGTCGTCTTTACCAAATGAACCCCAACCGATTTGAAAAAGGGGCACGCCTGTTGCAGACAATCGTTTTTGTCGGGTGGAACGGGTCTGCTCATGGTCACCTTTGAAACGCCCACCACATTAACTTACATCAATGCCAATCCTAGGAAGACGCACTCGGCTCTTTACGGACCAAACGCAACTCGCGGAGGTGTAGGAACGGCGTCATTCAGCAGGGCTGCCGCTTTCCACATTACGACACAACTTTCACATCAACTCATGATAACGCGCGGAAAGCCATAGCCCCAAACCGGTTTCTACCCTCGCCCCTATTTGTGTCACTTGTCCTCCCATACTGTCGCCCCCACGCTCCCCCACCGTCACTCGTCACTTGGCCTCCCACACTGTCGCCCCCACGCTCCCCCACCGTCACTCGTCACTTGTCCTCCCACACTGTCGCCCCCCACGCTCCCCCACCGTCACTCGTCACTTGTCCTCCCACGCTGTCGCCCCCACGCTCCCCCACCGTCACTCGTCACTTGGCCTCCCACACTGTCGCCACCACGCTCCCCCATCGTCACTCGTCACCTGTCCTCCCACAGCGCGCATGTCTACGACGGCCGTACCTGCTGCCACCTGTGACGAGTAAGGGTCGGCGGCGGCGGCGGCGGCGGCCGCTGCCTGGAAGCTGGCCGCGTACGGCTGGTAGTCGTACATCTGCTGGCCGGCGCTGGGGCTCAGCGCGCTGGCCGAGAGGCCGGCCAGCAGCGCCGGGTTCTGCGACACGTACGGTGACTGGTACATGTACTGCGGGGGCTGCAGCCTGCCGGAGGAGACACGGGGCGTCAAGAGCAGGCGACGGGCGCCCGGGCAGTACATGTGCGGCTCTTGTCGCCATGGGTGATGTATGCGGGTCGCAGGTAACGACTCTCTTCACATGATGATACCTCCCAGTGGCGTAGGGCAGGAGAAGGCACAGGGGGAACGTGCCCCGCCGCCTTAGGTCCAGAGGGGACGTCCGGCCCCTCGGGGCCCATCATTAACACGCACCCAGGCGAACGGGTTGAATGTGACGCCATTGAATTGGGGTCAATCTGAAATTCCCTTGAGATTCTATATGAGTGTCAAAAAATACCTCTTAAAAAGTGAAAAAGTAAAAGGTTCTGCAATAAAACCGATAAGTTGTTGACCTCTGTCTGATCTTCACACCTATTCCAATGTAAACCCAATCGGTCGTAATCCCACACTAAATCGTCTTCTTGTCTAAAAATATAGAAATGCATGGCTTCCTCCAACACTCCGTACCGTATTACATTGAGCGATTTTCTTGCAGCCATTCTCCCTAGCAGCCATGGCCTGGCTTCTACCTTTCACAGGTCAGCGACCTTGAGGGGTACCTACAATTTCTCACACAAAAAGACGGGCTATTAAATCGCCTACATGTAAACAAAGTTTGACGTGGCTACGTCACGCTGTTCGGAAATTATTTTAGGAAATATTTCGGGATGAAACTGACCCTCTCCATCCTCGCACGACTTAAGCGCACAATTTGGAGGTCGTATTCAGGAGTCAGGCCTCAAATGACAGTCAAAGAGCCCTAGGAGCTCGCTGTCCTCCCCCTAGAGAGCATTCAACGCTACCTGGCGCTGGGAAAGTCCTTAAAGCATCCAAAAACAAAAGTCCCATAGTGTCGTCCTCATTGTTAGGGCCGCATATGGCTCCCATAATGCGGAGCATTTTCTTACTCTCTTACATCTGTTTGCAACCATTCCGTGCCAAACCACGATGGCCTTCGCCACATACCCATCAACGAGCATACGCGGTGGTTTGTTGCAAGCCTGCAGCGCCCAGACCAGACCGGAAGCGGGCCACTTCCGGCCGCTGCTGGCAGCCACCGGAAGGCTGGTCACAGTAGCCCCCACCCACCAGCGACAGCGCACGCAGGCTCCACCGGTATGTGCTGGGCGCCACATCAGCACGCGCGCGGCCTCGCGGTCCACCATAAAAACCGCGTGGAGAGCGGAGCCTGCCGTTTGGCGCATTCCTGCCCCCCCCCCCCCCCTCCCTCCCTCCCCATGTTCGAGCCCCAAAGACAATGTAGATCGTCCAAGGGACACTATGATGGCATCTGGTGTCAACAGTGAAGCTGATGAACGATACATTACCAACGGCAGGAAGTTTCCACCACAAATCATGCACGCACTCTGTTCTGCCACCGGGTTCCCAGCAGTCACTGGGCACCAGCCGAGCCAGTGACCACCACACATCAGTCACGAGGGCACGCGCCACACTCTCCGGCGCCGACGCCTGAGCCCCACCAGCTATGCTGAAGACCAATACAAATCAGCTGGGGGCGGGCATTTACGGCGCAGGATGCCCCGCTGATTGCCGCCACTGATCCGCCGCCATAAATAAATGACCGATCGCACCGGCCGGCATTAATGACACCAATCCGGGCATATCGGGCTGAATTATGCACGCCGCCATCGCGGCTTTCATGGGGGTCGCGTGCGCGGAGCATTCCGCCCACTCGGTGAGCGGCGCACCCAACAGCGCGGCGGTGCATGTCAGCTCTGCATCGGGACTCGTCGCGAAGTTCAAGTTCGGGTCAAAGGCAGCGCCTGAGCGTGATCGGTCAGGCGGTGAAATTCGGTGATTTAAGCGGCCTGGTGAGAGCTTGCTGGAGAAACGATGAATTAAGTGAAACGCTGAGATGACAGGAGTGATGATCGAGAGTAACAACCTGAGCCAAATCTGGCGTAAGTAGAAACCACGAAACTAGAAATTGCGACAGCGTAAACCATCACAAACCAATACCGCAACAAGCCATCACCATTGACGCGTCTGCCAATCTTCAGATGTTGGATATCGGGCCTACGAATGTAGCTTTTTAACCCGGCCTGATCTGACTCGCAAGAACCGCGGCGGGTATCTGCGGGCTAGATCCCTGAGTGCCGGAGCGGACCGGACCGCCGGCTGACATTTTGGGGAATTGACGCAGTTTGTGTCTTCCTTGACGGGAAGCATTTACGCCCACGCATGTCCCAACCACTCCAGCCGTCACGCACCGTATGTTGGATGGCTTTGCTGAAGGCGCACTTCTACACACCGCTCGCTTGCCGGTACTCGGGCGGGTCGCAAAAATCTGGCGACGCTGACAAACACGAGCTAAACAAACCCATTCTACAGAGAGTAGCTGTTGGGATCAGTGGCACCACAACCGGTGCACAGGCACGCAACTTAACTCACTGGCCACCGCATCTTAACTGACAGGCGGACCAGCACAGGTCAGAGCGGATCGCGGCACACATGATCACTTGAAACAGATCCCGTCGTATAATATATATATATATATATATATATATATATATATATATATATATATATATATACGCAGCTAATAACAGGGTGCGGTGATTCCTCGAAACTTGACGGGTCAGCAGCGACAGCCAGAGCAACCTACGCCGGCTCTTGCGCTTCGCTCCGACCTGTTCTCGTCAGCTCTGGCTTGTTCAGACCTGTTCACGCGTGTTCCGGCTCGCCCGTCAGTTTAGCTACAGTGGGCAGTTGGTTTCAGGTGTGAACGTGAACCGGTTGTGCACCTACTGGTCCCAACAGTTGCTCCCTCAGAACTTAAATAAATTTGTAAAGAAACTGTTCGCTCTGCTTGCGTTTGACGGCGCCATCAGGACACCGCGATCCGACCCCGCCGCCACTTAATGACCGGTGCGTCATGGTGTAGGCGCGCGAGTACCGATAGCGGCAAGTGTGTAGAAGGGCACCCCAGCGAGGCCATCCAACACACGATGCGTGACAGCTGGGGTGGTAGGTACATGCTTTGGCACGTGTACATTGTTCACTTTTTAACATCAACCTAGCACCTCGCGCTAACTTTAATCCTCAGCCTGCGCGCCTGCACACGCGAGAGCAATCCATCACGCGCCAGCCGCCCCGCCCCGTTTCGCGCGGGAGGTCCGCCGTGCGCCGTCCGGCTCGTCCCCTCGCATGACGGCCACACTTAACCAATCAGGGTATTTGCTCAAGATTTGTGAAGCCGCCGCGCGCGGTCACGTCACGTGACGCACCGTGTCCCGTGACGCGGTCACATCGCTCCCAGTGACGGGGGCGGTCCGGCGGCCGCCGCTCCCACCGCCCGCAATCGATGCGCCGTCGGCGACGGCAGCGATGACGGCGGCGGCGGCCGCGGCGGCGGCGGCGGCGGCAGCAACACACCTCGGCCGCTTGCACAATCACATACGGAGCCTGGCAATCGATGGCAACGCGGCGGCATTAATCTTGGCCGGCTAGTGGACCGCGCGAATAATGGTCATTGTTACTGCAAACCAGGGTCGCGTTTGTCCCATAGGGTCTGGCGGGCGCTCGGCCGGGCTGGTTAGTTTCAATGCTCCATTCGCCGCTAACTGCCCGCCGGCCAAGCTATCAATGGTGCATGCGCGGCGGCCCGTGTGCAGGTCATTCATCATGGCCGCCGAAGCAGGGCCGAAAATGTGTCGTGATTTTTCACTGCAGACCTGAATCGGACTGAGTCGTTTGGTAGATGGATCAGCATTGCAGAACTGGGCCATGGGCGCCGATATGGACCAGGAGCATTGGCGCTAGCCCCCACCTGGAGCGGAAAGTGGCGTGTGCATAGATTTACAGCCCCGCGAAAGCACACGACTTCCTCGTCAGGCATATGCATGACGTTAAATCCACGACCAGAAATTCCGTATAATTCGGGGAGCAAAGCGAACTCACCCAGCAGGAATGCCCGTCTTCGGTAGGCTCGGGTCAGAGGTCACCACGTCCACGTACCGTCGTCTGGTTTAATGGTTATGAGTGGCAGCGACTCACTGCGTTACGAACGGCGAATGATGCTCGTAAATTTGGCATCAAAATGCTCAAAGTCTTGAGCCTCACTTAATCCCTATTCCGCTTTCACACACGGCGGTAGCGGGCTGTGACACCACCATCATGTAAGCCGAAAGAGCACGCCGTCGCGTACCATAGAAAGCGTTGCACGCTCGCTGAGCACTGATTGATGAGCGTTTGCTAACATGCACGGCATATGAGCCCATTTCCAGAGCTTGCAATCCAGATGAAGGAGTCATGGCGTAAAAGCGCAGTTGTCATTTGCTTAGTTGTTCTGTTGTTTGCCATTTATTTGGTTCAATCTCGCTACTTGAAGGAGTGAAATAAAATTATGTGACGTAGAATGTTGGTGACAAATGGCAGTAGTCTACCTGCTGTAATTAAGCCAGGAAAGCAAGATCCCAAACGTGGAGGTGTCTGCGCCATCCTGCCCCTAATCACGGTCCAGTGAGCCGCGCTTCGTCTATGCCAAGGCAGACGGAGGGTCACGGCCAATCCAACAACAGACAAGCTCGTTAAGTTTCATATCTGCGCAGCGGTGGGCATCATGCTCTCCTACATATGTTGTTTCCCTTGTCCAGAACAAGCCGCTCGCCATCACCGACGTGCCGTCATCTCTCCGGCGCGTGCGTTCGTCAGGCAGAGCCCCCCCCCCCCGCCGGGGAAGGGGCCCCTCCCCGGGGGCCGTCCCCGGCCCCATTGGCCTCTCCGCACGGACGTCACTTGTCTGTTCTCCCATGATCGCGGCTCAATAACACAACCACCATCGATCGCCGCATGCATTATGGAGTGGGAGAGCGGGCCTCAGCGGACGTCCAGCCGGCCAGCCGGCCGCCTACCCCGTCCCCTCCTCCCCCCCCCCCCCCCCCCCACACACACCTGGGCACGACTACGGGACCCGAGGGCCCCGGGCGCGCGCCGCGCTCCACGCGCCGCAGGGCTTTGAGCCGG